GTGTATGCATGCATTTTATAAAATCTTAAATACTACAAAGGTACTTCTGTATCATTTCTAATGTATATGCTACTTGGTGGAATATAACCCTGAAAGCTGGCCTACAGATCTATTTGATAAATAACATGATAAGGTATTAAATTGCCTAACTTAAAAGCATGCATGCACACACACAAACACACACGCAAACACACACACACACAGAGCTTTCACTGTAGTGTATTAGGGTCACTGTAGTATATTAAGGTCACTTATGTAATTCTGACATAGTGTGTCTTGTTTATAATGTAAGCATGTGTCTTAAGATATATATGCAATAATACAGAACTAGAAACTATGGTTTCTGTGTCAAAGAGCTTGATATGTAAAAAAAAAAAAATGTTTCTGTGAGATAATGGGTAAAATAACAATATTAATACCCTGCTGTGGTTTATTGTCTGGAAGAATATGCTTCTTTAACCTTCTGTATGCTGCAAAACATAATGGTAATTTCTGCTGCTTCTTTACCCTTCATATGAATAGAAAACAGCGTCCAAATTCCTGGTTCAACAAGTTCAATATCAAGGCCAGTAGAGCAACTGATTATTTCTCGTTTTCATTTCATTGTGGATTTTATATGGTATAAATATAGCAAAGATTAAACATTGTTCCCCCACCACCTCCCCCATGTGCGCACATACAAACACACACATGCTTCTTTTTAAAGAAAAGAATGAGTTATGAATCCATTGGGCCAGAATAAAACATAACCCACCATGTTAAAAGCACATCATCTTTTAATATAGTCCTGTTTATATTAGCCAGATGGGATAATAAAGATTATTCTGGAATTAAATCAATGCTAACCATTTCCTTGTTGCAATGAGCCAAAGTAGCATATCTGTGCAGTTGTGTAAGAACGTTTTTTGCCCAGTCAGTTATAATCCCAAATACTTAAGCTGGAGCCTTTTTTTCTTCTTGAAAGCAGAGTAACTGAAATCTTTTGATATAGCTGGATAGACTTTTTGTTTTGTGGATAAGTTCCCACTGAGAATGTAGTTATTGGAGATTAGCAGACACAGAATAAGCATATATGGCATTAAGAAGAAACTGAGTGTAATTCTTACAAGCTGCAGGATGTAATTCTAGACAACTGCAGGTTATTAAATTAAGAATTTTTATTTTCTGCTAATTTTAAAAGAGGTATATTTTGTATTCTTAGTAGTTTATGATTGTAAAAAAGATGTAATGGTTCTTTTATGTTTTATTCCTGCTGTTTAGTTATATATATCCATGGTTTTGCTTCCCCTAGGAAGATTGCTTGGGTTAAAGGCAATATTCTTCTGAATCTTGTAATCTCTGAACTTGAAACTACAGTAAAACTGTACTGAACTAGTAAAAGTTTCCTAAAGTTCCCTTTTTGGCATGAAAATATAATAAAAATACATCAATCCTGCTGTGGTCCTATATATTCCCTTCCTTATTGGCTACAGAACATCTAATGACTAGGATAAAACTGAAAGATTTCATAGTTGATTCAGATGGCTACATGAGAAGCAATGATGAATTTATTTTTCTGGGGACTATTCTTCAAAAACTTTAACTTCTTGTCACCCTTAGTTTGTCACACACCTATGTTTGCATGAATGATTTTGACATGTCTCCTTTGATTTAATACCAAAAATTACAGAATGGGGTGTTCCATATCATGAGGAATAAGTGAGGCCATTAATAATCAGGAGATAATGGTATGTCTATGATACTGCTGTGTTGTGAAGACCTAAAGGCCTTTATAGTAGATCAAAACAATTACATGGAAATGAAAACGTATTTTTAGTAGTTATAATAACAGTGAGTATACTAACATTGAGATTTAAGACAAACTGTTGTAATGCTAGGGGCATTGTACAAGAGCAGGTAATATTGTTTGGGTGCTAGAAAGAGTTTTAGTGTAGAGGGATAAATTATATGCAACCAGAATTTAAGGGGAGAACATAGAAATTATCAAATAAGACAAAACCAGCCACTGTCATGCACATTCCTTGCTATAAGAACTGGTTGGCAAATTTCCCCATTTTAATTACTTTATGAATTGTCTGCTGCAAAGCTCCTACATCTATTACTCCATTTACTTTTTAAAATAATTAATTAAATACATTTGTTTCAGCACTTACTACTAAACTCTCCAAGTAGAATAATATTGATAGTATTTATAAAGCTATATATCCAAATTTAAAATGATCATGGATATCCTGGTAGAAACGTTTTGGAAAAAATAGAAAGAAATTTAATTTCATGGATCTATATTATTCAACTTAAACTCAAGGCATCATTTGAAACTTAGATGTGAAAATAGATTTTCATTCCTTGTTGAGAACTAATTTCTGCTCGTTCAAAGGTTATCAAAACCTCTTCTGTTTCTGGAAATTGGCTTTTTATGGGAAAAGAGTTCCATCTGGTGGATGCTAAGGGTAAACATAAGCTTTTCACTAAAAATAGTTAAATTATATAAGCTTCTAATGATATATTAGAATATATTAGTCATATGACATTTTAATTTATTAGTTATCAACCTACATTTTACTGTTTATTTTGGGGTTTTCCCCCTGCATTCTCTTTTTTTATATTCTTGTATTTGTGATAACTTTTTAACAAGTTTTTATAAGTATAACTTGTATTTGTATTACTTTTTCCTTTATTCTGCATATAGTTGTAATAATTTGAAAATATTACAATAGTTAAGTTGTAGACAAAGGGCTACTATTTGATTTGGGGTTTTCCTTTCTTTATTGCCAAAAGAGCTCATGCTTTAGGTTTGCCTTTTGGAGTCAGCTCATAATTCAGTTATTTTTTTACCTGATTGTGCCTACTAGGGTGAAAATAAGTTTGAGATTGTGGGAATCAGTTTCAGAAGGTAGAAAATTTTAAAAAAATTCTCCAGCTAGGGAACTAAATGCATAATTCTTCAGTACAAAGACCTACTCCTAGTTATCTTCCATTCCATCCTCCATCCCTCCTCTCACTCCCACTTTCTTCATTTTATTAGTATCTTTCTGTCTGGATAGATCTTGATCTGCTCCCCCATCTTGCACAGATTGAAGCTTAGGTAAACCATTATTAATATTCGATTTCAGCATGTTCGACCTTGCCACATTTTTTAAATAACTCCATAAATTGGTTATTCATAAATTGCAGTTGCATTCATTATAAGATACATTTGTCTATATGTAAAGATAAGTCTGTTTTAAAATTACCAAATGTTGTCAAACATGATCATCTCTAAGACTTTGCACTAACCCTGTTCTTGTTATCCTTTTAGAATAAATATGCAGATGGGGATAGGGCTTTAATTCTGGATTACATACATGTTGTAGAAAATTAATCTTCCCCCCAAACACTTGCTTTCACAAGAAACACTGGACCATAATATGTCTGACTCATATTACTGTTTCTCTTCTGTAACTCCCATGTATCCTCTAAAACCATTTTGGAGAATTGAGGGATATTGCAGAAGATTTTGTGTGGGCTGTAGACTGATTGCAAGGGAGGGAACATAATTTCTACTAATTTGGGAATGGCTTCTGTCTTTAGAAGAATGGCACTGTTCATAAGAGACTGCAGTCTTCTACAAATATACCAGAATCTACCAAAAAAGAAATTCAATTGAATATGTTAAAACACAAAGGACTACACTAAGTTCCACATAGATTACTCAGTTGGGATAAGAAACTTTGAGTGACCAGAGAGCAAATCTGTAGATGTATTATAATACCAAATATATACATATGTGTCTTGGTATAATTATTAATGTGTTGAACCAGGGTGACCCAGATTCAAGCCTACAGGTGATCCTCATTTAGTGACTGCCTTGGACAGTGACCATTCACAGTTATGATGGTCATGAAAAAGTAACTTTGTAACCAATGCCCATATTTACAACCTTTGCAGTGTCTTTGTCTCAGTCACATGTTCACTGTTATAGCCAGTATATGTTGTCCTATGCTTGACCTGTTTTTCCCTCCTTCTCGCAGAGTGGAGAGATTGCCTAAACAAGCTATCTCTTTCTGAGCTTCCTTTCTCCGCAGTGCAGCATGTCCCTAAAAGTGCTAACCCCAAGTTAACAAGCTCAGCTCTGTGACCTTAATTAGTTGATTAAAACCCTCCAGCAAGCTGGTGCTGCTACCTGACACTGACAAAACACTAATCAGTTTCACACTAAAAGTTTTTGTTTGCCTCCTAAGTGTGTGTGCACGCTAGGCAAACAGCCGGTACTAGTGCATTGCTTTCAATGTGTATTCCCCATTATGTGCCTGCTCACTCTCTTGTAATCCTTTCCTTTCCAAAGAATGTAAATGCAAACATTAATTCTCTTCTTATTAATTATCCCAGTGCTGAGGTGAGCATTCCAAAGGGTGAGGGAATTGGGAAAAAGGGCTATAAGGTTTGCCCTTTTACCCAGCTTCCTTGTGAGTTGAGTTCCAGAAACCTTCCCTGCTGTTTGGGCTCACCCATCTGTTTGGGGCCGTATCCTTCTGACACTGTAAAGCAAAGGAAAGCTGAAATAAAATCATAAGGACAGTCGTGGTCACATTATTTTTCACTTAGCAACCGCTTTGCTTAACTACCAAGTTGCCAGTCCCAATTGCAGTCACTAAATGAGGACTACTTATACTCTCATACAGAGAATTTCACTGGGTGACTTTGGGGCAGTCATTTTTTCCCAGTCCCACTAACCTCACAGAGTTGCGGCTGTGGGGCAAGTTGGAGAAGGGAGTGCTATGTATGTTGCCTTGAACTCCTGAAGGGATATAAATCTAACAAAATATTGTTTGAACAATAACATAACAGTAAGGAGAGGGTGTTATATACATTGTTTATGCCCTATTGACCTAGAGGTAATATAGTAAACTTTTAGTTTACTATAAAGTAACATTTGTATAGTTAAGTGCTAAAACTCTGTCTTTATGTTGCTTAAAAGGATATTGAATATTCATTGTTTTTTTTTCCTAACAAAAATATAGGAGTTGTCAAAGTGGATTATGGAGATGTATCAGTCAGAAAAGCATTGAGAGAAAATTTGAAATGTAAACCATTTTCATGGTACCTAGAAAATGTGTATCCAGATTCTCAGATTCCACGACGCTATTACTCCCTTGGAGAGGTATGAATTGTTTCTTTTGCATGAGAATTTGTTTTTAAAAATGAAGAATATCTCAGATGCACAAATGCAATTCAGTTCAGGACTGAATTAAGTTGTTTATACTCTGGGACTAATTATAGTCTGACCCTATCAAAATTAGACTTGAGGAAATAATTTGATTAGACACTTTGCTCGCAAGTAAAGTCCTGCTCTGATCTATTCCTTAAAGCAGCTGCAGTCCCAGCTGTTCCAAGACTTAAACCATGGCTGGGTTCATCAGCTTTCTTTCAAGCAGTTCCATGCCTTGAAGAGAAACTGATCCAGCACCTGCATTCATGGAAGGATTTGCTCAGACCTAATCAATAGAGATCTGTAGGCAGATCCATTGATTTCAGGAAACTTGGGAAATAAACCTGTAGAATCACTAAGCTCATCCAGGGCTAAGGTATGATGGATAAAATAAGTTAGGATAAGAAACCAAGGTAAGATCATTATAGGTGAGCCTCATTTTAACAGACAAATTGAGTAAAGGGGGTTCTGTTACTGAAAAAGATCTGCTGAATTGGAGAGTAGGGCATTGCAGGGATTTACAGCATCTGCATCTGCATGATGACAGAAATGATGCAAATGATGTTAATTGCAGCAACTGTTCGACAGATAGGTAGTCCCCAGGTTAAGAACGCCCAGTTTATGGACAACCCATAGTTAAGAAAGGAGCCTACTGTAGCAAAATTCAAGTTAAATACACAATAATTCAAGGTAAATACACAATGGTTTGAGTTAATTACACAATAATATTTATACAGTATTATACAATAGTACTGTTCTGGCTTACATACAAATTCAACTTAAGGACAGACCTTGGGAATGGAACTTCTTGGGAATGGAACTTGTTCTTAAACTGGGAACTACCTGGAAAGGAGCCTACTGTAGCAAAATTCAAGTTAAATACACAATAATTCAAGGTAAATACACAATGGTTTGAGTTAATTACACAATAATATTTATACAGTATTATACAATAGTACTGTTCTGGCTTACATACAAATTCAACTTAAGGACAGACCTTGGGAATGGAACTTGTTCTTAAACTGGGAACTACCTGTATACAAAGTCCATTGCATTAACATTTGGGAAGAGAAGGTTTCACAGCATTCAGTTATAAAATAATGAATATAGTTTCCAGATCTTTCTGGAATTAGAAGTTGTTTCCACATATCTTCCCAAGAGGATTCAAGTCTGCCAGGTCTGTGGATAGCTATACTTGCTTTCTGGAGGGATTACTGAGTCTCTGAAACTGCTCTTCTTTTGAAGCTATCAACATTGCCAGATAATTTTCCCTAGCAATTACTTAGCTTTCTTTCATTTTATTTCATTCTTGAGCCAAAAAAATGTTTTGTTTATGAGATCTACCATGTTTTTTTTTTTAAGTGAAAACTTGTATGGGCAGAAATGACTTTAATCTCCACTTTTAGAATTATAAATTTAGCTTTCTTTCATTTTATTTCATTCTTGAGCCAAAAAAATGTTTTGTTTATGAGATCTACCATGTTTTTTTTTTTAAGTGAAAACTTGTATGGGCAGAAATGACTTTAATCTCCACTTTTAGAATTATAAATGCCAAAACTAGGTGTGGTCCACCAATTTACAAAGCAATTGATCAAATAAGATTTTAAGAAAGAAATCTAATATTTAAAGGCTATTTAAAAAAACATCTTCAAGTAAGAGAAATACTTGCAGGGCAGGGCATATAATGAATGGCAAACTCAAATGAGTAAAGGCATGAATAGCTAAAAAGCACCTTACTTTTATCAATAAGTGTGGGTTTCTATGGGAAGGGGAGGAGAAATTCAAATAACTATGAAAGAAGCCTTGACTGCTTGTCAATTTCAGATAAGTTTTTAGGGGTTTTCCCTTCTCTCCTAATAGTCTATATAGGATATTGGAAGAATAACCTTTGCATGAACCATTTATTAGGAAGAGCTCAATATCAAAAGAAAGGTTATGTAGAGACATGCAGTGTGGGCTAAATACGTCTACTTAGAAGAAAGTCCAAATCAGCGTTTAGCATTGCAGACTTCAGTCATTTAGGTGATGCCTCATGGGGGAGAAAATTAAAAGAGCTCAGACTACATCATAGATGACACTGACAGAAAAACAAAACAGTGATTTTGAATATATTCCTGATACTGAATAAGACTTGCGCATTGATGAAGTAATAAAAAATATGGAACAAAATGTGGAATAGTTTATGTTAGCAAAGTTAGACATTAATTTGCTCTACAAAGGTAGGAGAAATCTGAGGAAATCACTGAAAAACATCTGTGATGAGTTTTATGTACATCTTTGGCCCCCATCCCTTCATGGTTCCTTCCCCTCCTTTCTGATTTCTTTTAAAAAAAAATTCATTTCTTTACTGAAATATTTTAATTTTTTTTACTGAAATACTGAAATTAAATATTTCATTTCTTTAATATTTCATTGCTTTACTATATGGAAAAAGGAAAAAGCATAAATAGAAAGAGAAGTATGAAACAAAAAACTTATTAGGTTTCATACAGGAGAACATTCACAGTAATTTTTAAACATATTGCATACCTTGATCGTACAAAATTATATTGTTTAATCTTTCCATTATGTTACTTAGAGAGATGATTCCTAAATGGAAAGAACACAGATCAGCTATCCAAGTATCTGAATCTCAGATCATGCTATCTTTCCAATACTGAAACATAATCTTTTTGTTGCCTCCCATGCTCAATAACTCCGTAATTATTAATACATAGATAAATTCCAAATTTGGGGTATTCATATATAAGATGGAAGTATTCAATTCAAAGATCTTATGTTTCACTTTTTAATAAAAAAGTAAAATAGAACTAGGAACAGTATTATTGCCATCATGTATTACATGCAGTTAATTTTCAATTTTCATATCGAAATGTCCCATTTTAAATATGCTGGTACCAAGAGCTTAGTTTAGTACTTCAAAAAGCATATAATAAATATTCTCCATTTTGAAATATTTGCCAAACTTATCCAGATCTTGAAAGCAAGATTTGAAATCAGTCTGAGTTTATAATTCTCTTAGCATCTAGATGCTAGGAGTATTATCATATAATAATCTATCATTTTACTTGATTAGATATCTTTTTGACATTCTGAAATAAAAATTATGAAGCCTGAAACCCTAAAATTGTTGGAAAGAAGTCCTTCACTAGTTTAATGAAGCTTGTCCAATTTTTACTTAATGAACAAATCTTGATCAAGTAGTATTTTTTTCCTGAGAAATAAACATTTCTTTTTACATTCTTTTTCTTCTGTTTTAGTAAAAAGCCAATCATCGAAGCCCAGATTCATAAATGGATTATTCAAGTGCTTATTCAGGAATTGCATATCCAGTTTAGACACTGGTTGTCTTAATATCCATTTTAAAAAATGTGTGTGTGGAGTTTGTGTTTGAAGTGGAGAGAGTGTGGGTAGCCTGAACATGTATTCACATTTTATTTAGTGGTCACTTCACCACAGAACTTGGAACTCCTTCAATTACTGTTAATGAAAGAAGTGGGGAAAATATCTTACTTTTATGACTGAATTTATACTCCTTACTTAACATATCCTTGTTTAAAAGAGATTTCCATGTAGTAATTCTTCTCAGTGACTGCTATTCCAAGTAGATAATCTCAGCTGCATGAAGAATTCCACAGCTCTTCTACATATTTCTAAAAGGATGGTCATTGTTATCTGTTTATGGTTCATGGAGCGGAAGATGTAAAGCTAGTTTTGGTCTTACAGCTGCGAAAGAGGAAAATTACCACACAGAAAATGCCAGTAATGTTGAATAGATTTGTGTTGTCTAACTTCTAATCAAATGGGAGGATAACAGTGGGATGATATACCTGGAAAGAGTTCTTCCAAGAAAAATGAAAGATGACTTCCTGCCTCTATCTGCTTCTATATCCCTTCTTGTCTAGACTTGCCATTTTTACAGGTAGTCCTCACTTACTGACCACAATTGGAACTGGCAACTCCGTCACTAAGTGGCACGGTTGTTAAGCGCAATCTCACAGGACTGTGCCAACTTACAAGGTTAGTTCCATCAGTTCCTGCTGCGGTCATTAAAGCAAATAACCGCAGGTCATTAAGTGCAATGGGACTACGACTTGTGACTTCCTGCTGGCTTCTCCATTTATTTGCTTGTTGGAAGCCAGCTGCGAAGGTTGCAAATGGTGATCACATGACTGTGGGATGCTGTGACCATCATAAATGTGCCCCAGTTGCCAAATCACATGACTTTGACTTGCTACTTCCTGCCAGCTTATCCACTGGCTTTGCTTGTCAGAAGCCAGCTGTGAAGGTCGCAAATGGTGATCATGTGACTGTGGGATGCTGTGACAGCCACAACTTGGAGGACCAGTTGCAAGTCTCTATTTTCAGCACCATCATAAGTTCAAATGGTCACTGAACGAGTGGTCGGTAAGCGAGGACTACCTTTAAAAACATTACAATGCCTTTATGAGATAGGACATAGCATATGCAAGTAAGAAGTGACTGTGTGGAAAATCAGAACTAATGGAGTCTTGGCAAGCTTCCAGAGGAAGGACAATAGCAATGTTCTACACAAAGTCCATGTCAATTTAAGCATATCCATCACCTTTATCCATTTACTCAGTTATAAAAGTCGGCCATCTTAATAGTCTTAAGCATTTTTAGCGTTGCAATGGCCCTGATTCTCAGCTTTGAATACAAAAGGTCTTTAAGTTTTCCACAAAAAGAAACAGCATTGGCTATAAGATGTTTTCCCTGCTGAAACACATAGCAAAAATCTGCTTCGTATTTATTTATTTATTTAATTTATGTAAGCAATTTATATAGCCGCCCAACTCACTCACGGTGACTCCAGGCAGCTTACAAGAATAAAAATCCCAAATACAAACCCCACTCCATCCCCCACTGGTAGTTCTGCTCATATTATCTGAAGTTTTTTTTCAAGGATAATGTTTGAAAGGTCTCCTAAAATATAAGGAATGCTGTGAAACAAATAGAATTTTCTTTGTGCAAGTAATATAAGCATTAAAATAGGGCATACATTCTTTTTTATTATCTTTCATTCAAAGCCATTTGTGAGAGCTTCAGTGTCACTTTCCAAAAGCAATACTTTGGAAAGCATAATTTTCAAAAAAATTCTCTCTTTTGTGTGAGAGAAAACAGTGGTCCTTTTACTTACATAATACTGGGATTAATGCAACTTAATGTTTCATCTAGAAATAACATGTGCCTGGTTCCCAGGGCATCTAATGGAGCTTCTTCTGAGTAGACATGCTTACTGAAGACTGATACTGAACACAGAGTAAGCATATATGTGTAATCTGACATCATTCTAAATTTTACATAATTTCAAAACCATTTAATTCCCTCTGTTTTTCCTTAACTAAAGCTTTTAATAATTATTATTAAATTTACTTGGTTTTATTTTTCCTCACAGATCAGAAACGTTGAGACAAACCAATGTTTAGATAACATGGGACGTAAGGAAAATGAAAAAGTAGGCATATTCAACTGTCACGGCATGGGAGGAAATCAGGTAAAACGTATCCTATTTTATTTGTAAACTTTATTTGTATTTTAAACTTTATTTGTAAGGCTTAGCATATTGACATAGGCATTAGTGCGGGGGGTGGGTGGGAAGAGTGGCAAAATGAACATTGCAACATCACAGTGCCAGCTCCAGTCCTTTTGTACACTTATTGCAATGCTGTGTACACATAAGGGCAAATCTTCAGTCCTGATCATCATACGGATGAGGCCATGGATTCTGACTCTGACTAACATAACATCAAGGCAGTGTTTATTAAGAAAGGATATATAAGGGCGTGTGCATACCAGGTAGAATTGCTATGATGTTGATCTTTCAGACTGCGAAATGCAAAATCTATGTTGATTTGTGTGTGGGATAAGCTTTGCAGATACATTAACAAATACAAATAATGTGCATTAGAAAGAAGCCTCAAGCCAATACCCAGAAAAATGTATTTGTGGTTTTATTATATTATTCATGGCAAGTGTTTGTCAAGTGAATTCATTGCTGTTACTTAGCTAAGTTATGTAGTTCTTTGTGCAGGCAGGCTAGGCTGCAAAAATGTGCTTAACTATTGATTCAATTGTTGGCTATGAGAATTTTAGTTTAAAGCATAAAACATAAAAATCATCAATTGAGCAATTTTTCTGTGAGCTTTGGGGTAAGTTACATATGGAATCCTGCAATATCACCTATTTTTATGACACTAGAACATAAAAGAGGTTGTTTCATGTTTTGATTGTTCCCTATAGTAGAACACTTTAAAAATTCTAGGTTTTGTTCCACTAGAACATAGATAGTCTGAAACATTCTAACAGAACATACTGGAATAGATCCATTTTTCCTCAAAAATCTGTATGCTTAAATAATGGTTCTTTTCCTAAGTGGTATTGAATCAACACAAACAAAATAAAACCAAATTTGGAAAAACACCAAATTTGGTTAAGCAATTTGAAGCTTCATTGAGATTCCAACAATTGTATTAGAAGCTTGTCCTATAGCTACTACATTATGCTGTGCTTTGCTTTAAGATATATTACAATATTTTCAATGAACAGAGTAAGTAAGTGTTTCCTTTTTTTCCTAGGCAGACCTCATCCCCTTATTCCTCCTATACTTTAATAGTTCGCAGACAAAAGTGCAATATCTAGTCCATATATAGTTAATTAGTAGTTGGCTGATTACAGGTGTTAGAGTAAAATAGAGTTGAACAGAGAGGCTTTTTCCATTGTTTTAAAGCAGATTAATCCAGAGCATGGGATTTTTTGCATAAGAACTGAAACTTCAGTTTATATACATAAGAGTTTACATTTACTACCTCTTTACATTCAGTGAAAGTAGATGTCAGATGCTTCATTGACTATATAAAGGTCTCTGATTGTGTTGACCGTGCGAAGCTGGGAATCTTGAAGCATCTCATATGTGAAACCTGAACACAGGACAGGAAAGCACAGTCTGGACAGAATGTGGCAAAACATAAATCTGGCTCCAGGTTGGCAAAGGAGTGAGACAAGGTTGCCTACTCTTCCCTTATTCATTCAACCTATATGCTGAATATATATTAAGGGGGGATGATTTCCATGATTTTAAAATTAGGGGAAGAAACATAAAGAACTTGCAGTGATGATACTACTCTGATAGCTGAAAATGCAAATGAACTGCAAGCTCTGGTAATGAAGTCAAGGAGCACAGTGAAAAAATGGGACTACGATTAAATATGAAGAAGATTAGACTAATGACAATAGGTACAGCAACCACCCTTAGTACTGACAATGAAGATACTGATGTAGTGAATAACTTCTTCTGTTTAGGATCAACTATTAATAGTAAAGGAACCAGCAGTCAAGAAGGACACTGCAGATTAGCATGTGGGAGGGTGGCAGTGAAGGCCTTGGAAGAAATATTCAAATGCTGTGATGTGTCTATACCCACAAAGATAAGAATCATGCAGGCGGTAGCTTTCCTTGTGACAGTCTATGGAAGTGAAAGTTGGACTTTGAAGAAGCAGGGTAGAAAGGGAATCGGCACTTTTGGATTTTGGTATTGGAGAATCCCCATGAGGATACATGAATAGCCAAACAAACAAATGGTTCATAGAACAAATTAACCCAGAATTCTTACTCAAGACACAAATGACCAGGCTGAAATTATATTTTGGACATGTTATGGCTGCCTTGAGAAGTCTGTAGCAATGGAAGGAAAGAGAGAGGATAACCAGCAGCAAGGTAGATAGGGTTAATTACAGCAGTGATGCGTGCACCATTGGGAGATTTGAAAGGCCAGGTTGGGGACAGATCATCCTGGAGAAGGTCTATCTGTGTGGTTGCTATACTGACTTGATGGCACATAATAAAAGTAGAAGTGGGCAGTCTGCCTTGAGTGCTGTCTGGATACCCTGGAGCCCCAGTCCCCTTCTGATTGCTCTGCCGTATTTTCTATGTTGAACTGGAAAGGAAAAAAAAAATCCCAATTATCAAGAGGTCATTCATTCTGAGCTAAATATGAAGGCTTATTCTGAAGCCTTCGTGCCAGGAATATAACAAATATGGACCTTCTTTACAGTTGGCAGTTTCAATTTCCAGGCAAGTTCTGCCCTGATTTAGAATCACTATAACTAGGATTAATTTAATTTTTATTTTTTAAAAATAATTTATCAACTGCATAACAGCATTGCATCTGCATTACAGCTGGTTGTTATAAGAGCTTTTTTCCCCATTGAATTTAACTATTTTTGGACATTTTGGCCAGTTATTTAGGAGAGTCTGTAATCTCTTGAAGGTTATTTCTGACATTCTTAAAATAATTTGTAGAAATAATGTACTTTAGAGCAACAAGATAGAAATTGATACAATTGACTGACACACAATTTATGACAGTAGCAGGAGAGTCGTATTTGGACTAATGTCCATATTTATATTATAATTCTTTTGAAATAAAGAAGCAACACAGTTTTACTTGACATTACCTCTTCTCACACAGATATACAAATTCTGTAAGTTTTTCTAATAAAAGCTAAATGTCAAGTGTCTCATGAAACTCATTTTAGATGCAATAGGCATGTATCATTTAAGCACAATTAAAACATTTGGTGAAATTAATATTTTTCCTACTAAAAAAAATCAGCAGTATATTAAAAATCTTTTATTAGAAAAATATTCAATTATCTGGCTTATGCATGCAATATTATCTTTCCCAAATGAACTTGACTGTTGCACTCCAATTACTTATACTTAAAAATGTATCTTTCTTCCATTTCCAGTTCTAAAATGTGGATATTTTGACCAATGAACAATGAAGAGTTAAATCCAGTAGTACAGCATAATAAAATAATTTTATTTTAAATTAATGCAAGTAAAGGGTCCTTTATTTACATTGGCCAACATCATCTGAAATGGCAATAAATATTCCAATATATTTCCCCATATATTTAAAAAAGGTCTTATGTGAGAGGGGTTCCTACTCTTTTAATTGCCCAATAATATATAAATGATAAATTAAGGATTATAGCATTTTTCCTTCTTGCAGGCTATTGAAAGCTGCTTACATAAAATACATTTACATATGTATATTTTGTGTTTAAGCCTTTGTGACATTTTATAAAGAACATTTTATAAAGACATTTTATAAAGAACTCTGTATCGTGTATGACTAAATATTAGAATATTAGTAAATAAAATATGATTAAATCTGTTTTTAATCCCTTTCCTTTCTAAAGCACCTACTTGGTAACTTAGAATGATTTGCATGCATTCTCTAATTGGTCATGCAATCAAGTTCAATTTGTACGCCTTGCCCAGGGCAGCGTTCTGCCGTTAATTGGCAAAAGGCTGCTTTCAACAATTAAGAGAGAACGCTTTTCCTGTACCTTTGATTAGAATACTTTTAAGTTGGTTGAGGGGTGAATTCAAAATAATTGGGAGCCTTGTACATAATTAAAATAGATGCCACTTATATTGCTTTAATTCCACTTAATTTTATTTTGACCAGGATCTGCCTTCAAACCAAGTGGTAGCTTGGAATTAGTAATTTCTACCTCTCCCCTTTACAATATGTTTCTTCTTTTCTTTCTCACTCTCTGTTTCATTTTACATTTCTTCGTTTTTACATCCAAAATGTAACCAAATCTGGAATTCTATGATTATAATGCTACTACATCTAAAATCCTTTGCTGCTCCAAGTCAGTCTTTTGTAATATATATTTGGGAGGGGGGGCTTGTCCATTCGCAATCCGCAAGGATGCCAGAGTGTCAAAAAGTGCACTGTGACATGATGATGCAAATTCTGCCCTGCGCTTGCGTTGCGGCATTGCATGCCAGTACATAAAGAGTAGATTTTGCATCACTACGTTGCATTGCAACATTGCATCATATTGCACATTTCATTACTTGCCTCCTCTTGTTACCCCCCAAACACCTAGGATATATATTGTATGTGTGTGTGTGTGTGTGTGTGTAAACATTTGAAATCTTAAAAACTCACCAAAGATATTTGTATCACTTTCAGATTTTCAGCAGAGGTTCAGCACGTTTTCATGTATCTTTTCCTAGAGAAACAGCCACCATAATTAGGTCTTATGGAAATAGGATTTTATTTAGGTATTTATTTTTGTTTATACAATTTTTAAGCCGCCCGACTCCAGATTACTCTGGGCGGCTTACAAATAAAAGTCAACACACAAACACAGGCAAAAAGAATCACGAACAGCCCCAGAAACAGAACCAAAGAAAGTCCATTCCCTTCTTGTTGTGTTCTGCAGCTTTGTTCATGGGGGCAATTGCATTTTCCTAGACCCTCTCTGGCTAATTGAAAGGAGACGAATAGCAAAGGAAACTATGCATTCCAATTCTGGTATTGTCATTTATTCTGCATTCTCTTGGAAATCTAAAACAAGGACTTGCTTCCTATGGCTGCCATCACAGTTATGTCAGCTCTCCAGAAATTATGCTGAAAAAACAATGTACTCACCCCTCCTGTACTAATTGCATGAATCATGTGTTGTTAATTGGCATATGCTACTTTTAATATTTGTAGCATGCTTAATTAAACTGTTTGGGAACTTACATTTCATATTTATATAACACTTTAAAGTGCTTTACATGGATGAATTCTATGACCCCTGCAATGAAGTTATAAGGAGTTCAGTAATATTACCTCATATTTCAGGGACCATTGAAGGCACAGACTGCTTATCAAGTTAATTGCCATTAGAAGATTTGAACCAGGTCACTTTGACTCAGATCTTAAATGTCTGCCAGGCTGTGCCTACCTATCAATATATCAGACTATTTAACAATAGAATAGTAATAGCATACATGAAAATTAAATGTACAAAACTGAATTATACTTCCTACAAACCTGATTTTGCAGTATTCTCAACTGTATCTCCATTGGAATCAACCATTTCATGAATTACATCTGAATATTTATTTACATGATTAAAGCATCCCAAAGGCTTAAGCTTGTTGAAAACATATTCTTACTTTTTTTATGTCCTCATAACCACCCCCTGAGTGCAGAATTTATTTTTATGTTCTATTTGCTTGCTACAGTTTGCCTAATTGTAACTGAATGTATGGCATTCAGGCTTCCCTAGTCACTCAAATGGATTCTGCAATCAAAATCCATCGTAGTAATTCTAGGGTTTTTAGCAGAATTAACCCTGTTTATCTATAACTGTCTGGTAAGAATCCTGGGGTAATTAATGGTTTACACCTGGAAGGCAACTTCCAAATTTATCCTTACAGGCTCTTTTGAAAAAGAAGCACTATATCTGGCTACTGAAATACAAGCCCCATTAAATGCAAGCCCCATTAAATTCAGTGAAGTTTACTGTCAAGTAAAGGTACAGTATATGTAGCTTTAATCGTGATAACTGAGTACAGTACAGCCACAATCCCATATCCAGTTCTGTAAGAAAGTACACACCATTTAACCATACAGGAATATTTCTGAGTAGTGATGTATAAGAATTCATTCTTAAGTTGGTTTTCAGAGTACGTGGTCTAGTTCATTGCACTACTTCGCTTTTCACATAGTTTAAGATACAGGTAGTCCTCATTAAATGACGGTAATTGGGACTGGAATTTCCATCACTAAGTAATGCAGTCATAAAGTGTGGCATCATGTGACTGTGCCACTTAGCAACGGCAGTTCCGGCACTCCCGGTTGCCATTGTTAAGCGAATATCGCACCGCCATTAAGCACAACACCACATGGTTGCCATTTGCAACGTTGCAAATGCGAGCTGGTCACTAAGCATCCAGACTGCAATTATGTGACCGTGGGGGTGCTGTGATGGCTGTAACAATGAGGACTGGTTGTAAGCACCACTCGTTCAGTGCTGTCATAAGTTCAAACAGTCGCTGAATGAATGGGTGTTACAGGAGGACTGCCTGTACAGGATACAGATTAAGAGACAAGATGCAGATTCCTACTGTCACTTGAATTCAAAGCAGAAATCTTTGTTGTGTGCGCTCACTTTCATTGGGGTAGCTAGACACTGGATGGAATGGGAGTTAGTATATATTTGGTTTCAAACCTGATTTCTATATGCTTTCCATGTGTGTGTTAACTTTTTTTTTTAAGCATTAGCAGTTATTTTACCAATAGGGCTTTCTCTCTTCCAGGTATTTTCATACACTGCTGACAAGGAAATCCGCACAGATGATTTATGTTTGGATGTCTCTAGGCTCAATGGGCCTGTAATTATGCTGAAGTGCCATCACATGAGAGGAAATCAACTTTGGGAATATGATGCCGAGGTATTTATTCAAATGTAGAAATGAAGCATCTTGATTAATATTATTGCTTGTCTGGAGCTAGCAAGTAAAAGGCTAAAGCAGTGTTTCTCAACCTTGGCAACTTTAAGATGTGTGGACGCTGGCACACGCAGCATGCCGGCTGAGGAATTCTGGGAGTTGAAGTCTGCACATCTTAAAGTTGTCAAGGTTGAGAAACACTGGGCTAAAGTTTCTTTAGCAGGCTGGTAAATCTGATAACAAATGTTTTCATCAAGACTGTTTCTATCCCCTATATTTCAGACAATTTGAGGGGGGGGACCAACTTTGCATCTCTTTCCCTTATACCCCCCTTCCCGTGTCAATTGATTATTCCTTCTACTACAGCAACCTGTACTAAGTCTGAGATCTCCACATGATGGAGCTTAAAGGCAGTGAATCACTAAGTACTCATTTATTAGGATTGTTCAGAGCATTTAAGGAGGGACTTCACAACATGTGGGAGCAGGAAGAGATACAAGGCATCTGTGGCTGCTTCCAAAACTGCTTCCCTCAGAATATGTGTGCTTGACATGACTTCATTGCAGGGTCTCTTTTTAGCCATTCCCCCACTTCCTTGCAAAACAGGATTGTAGATACAGGATTTAAACAATGGGGACAGGCTATCACCATTCCTATTCCTCTGATCTGAAGTGGGAAAGTCTCTAAGGTTATAAGGTATTTACATGCTTGAGAATCAGGACAGTTCAGCCTGCTTTCCTTTACCTCTTCTTAGGCCTAACATGGTAAACATTTTTGAGCACAGTATGTATGTACACAAATCCAAGTCAGCCCGGAGTCTATAAGTAAAAGTTATTGATGAAAGGATAAAGCTAGCATACTAAAGAAAGTAGTGAGGCACACAGTTAGGGAAGTAAACTAATTCCTATGGCAGAAAGTTAGTCTAGTTAATTCTGTGTACTGAGGTGGACTATTCTAGCAGAGATCCGGATTCCACAGAATCTTGACTTAGATGGACCGGTGAGTCCATCATGAAGACACATCATGGAACATCCTATAAAGGACATTGTGCTAGGTTTTCTGCTTGGAAGGGATAGGTTGCAATAACAGCTCTTCTTCTTTTGGGCAGTTGACCACAGCAGAAATAAACAAAGAAGTAATCAGTGGAGTAAATTATGCCATCATTTACTGCATAGGTGAGAGTGGGCAAGGAAGAGCCTTCTTGTTAGACTTCCTTCTGTATTTGCATTCCTTCTACTGAACTAGAAGGAATGGAGCAGCTGTTGCAGTCAACTTAGAGTTAATTTCAGATATGACAGATTGGTCTTCATCACACTGGGATTATACTTTCAAGTTCACATGGAAAATATATTCCTACCTACTGTAATTTTGAAACTTACAATTTATGCAGTGATCTGTTTCCCAATAAACCAGCAATATTTATTATTTCAAGGATGTTTTCATTATCTGGGAATGATATGCTGCATAATAAAACATGCATTCCCATAAAATATTGTGACTAGATGCATAATTCTCCATCCATAAATACTAAGCCAGCAGGATGTTTGGGATGCAAAACATACATTATGCAATTTCATTACTGCAAGAAGACATGTGATAAATATATGAGATAGAGTCAGACTGTTGTAGCATTGAAAAAGAAAGAAAAGTCCATGCCATTTCACTGACACATATTTAGTTGTACTTTTATGGGAAAATATTTAAGAATCAGATAGACTCCCTCAGGGGGAAAACTTTATGTGATACATATGTGTATTATTTTTCTGCTTCAATACACAGGTATTTGCAGTTATTACTGATTAATTACTGCATTAAAGCTCATGCAATTTAAAAAAACCAGATGACAGCCTGATCATATTTGTACAATTCATTTGATACTATTTTAATATTTAGGTTGAAACTATGTTTAGAAGCAGATAAATAGTTTACAGAAAATGTTGCCATGGGATATATTTGAAAATATATTTCACCAGAGTTTTTTGAAGCTATGTCTTAGCAGCATATAGAAAAACCATGATTGCTAAATCAAAATCCGCCATTAGATGGAGCCAGCAAAAAGGAAATACTTTATAGTCTCTGATAAGAGACTCACAGAAAAGTCAGTTTTGTCTGTAGTATTATTTTGTTGTCGTTGCTGGCTTACCAAGTTGAATTAAGAAAGAGGGAAAAACCCACAAAATTCCAAATATATAATGATAAGGTAAACGTGTTGAAATGTATTTTTATTGTTATCATTATTGTGCTTTGCAAATTGTGATTTGATTTAAGGTATTTTGGGTTGTGTTTTTAGCTTTTATGAATTGTAAATGAAAATGATTATTTTACTGCTTATAAAGATTAATAGAGTTTTATTTAATGTCACTATAACACCAGAATCTCTTTACCCTTGGTATTCTGCACAGTTACTTGTTTCTTCAGCAAGTATTTACTGAGCAGTGAAAACGGAGAAGCACTGAGGCAACCCAGCCACATAAGGAGATTATTTATCTTAAATTATGCTGTACGGGCACTTCTTGAGAGTCCCAGGAACTATGGCATTATCAAATGACTCAGTTGATATTCTAACACACTGACACTGGGTAATACATGGCAGCTCAGTGTTCTTAGGAACTGTGTTGCCCCCTTTTGTGTAGAAGTAATCTTTAAATCAATATTCTTCTAAGTCAAAACAGGCATCTTGGATTGCGAAGTTAAAGGGCAAAAGGAGACAGTAACACAGGACTTCTAAAATGGTATCTCTCACTTGTTTAAACAAATTTTGCATGTGTGTTTGTAGTGTGTACCTTTGAGTCAGTGTTGGCTCCTGGTGATTGCCTGGGCTAGTCCTTGCAGTTTTCTTGGCAAGATTTTTGGAGGTGGTTTGCCCTTGCCTCCTGCTCCCTAGGGCTGGGAGAGAGTGACTGGCCCAAGGTCACCCAGCTGCCTTTGTGCCTAAGGCAGGACTAGAACTCTCCGTCTCCTGGGTTCTAGCCCGTCGCCTTCACCACTACTGTACACCATTAGGGAGCACCAATTCTGATCCAGCTTGCAGCCATGGAAATGGGTAATAAAGTTATTACAAAAAAGGCAGGCAGGCAGGCAGGGGTTAAGAATTTCTCCTGTGGTGCTTACCTAATCCAAATTCTCTTTCCCTACCACCATTATTCCCTCAATGGAAAGATATAGATATCATATAGATAGAAAAAATTAGAATCCATTTGTTCTTTTAAAAAGGTAGGGTTTTTTGAATGTAATGTGAAGATGATGGTGATGATGATGGTGGTGGTGATAATGGTGGTGGTGGTGATGAGGATGATGATAATAATGAAGATGTAGTTTTTGTGCAAACAGGGATTTCATAGCTTTTTTTTTTTCATCCACTGCCTCTCTTTCTTTCTTCTCCCTCCTCCATGCCCCACACGCAGTATTTACATCTGTGGACGAAGGTGGTTTGTCCCCAAGTCCAAACTTATCAATTACTTTGTACCCCAGATTCCCAAAAATCAGAACTTCAGAAGCATACATGCAAGAGTTGCACATGCCTTTTTCTCTTTTGGTATTTCTATTCTGGAAGTTTGTAATATAAAGAACACAAGGAAGCATTTGGGGATATGGAGGTTTGATTACTCCTGCAGGATAACACAGCCATGGATTGTGGGGAGCTGAGCAGTTGGCTTTCTTAATGTCTATTTTAACCCTGGTTATGCTCTTCTGCTTTGTGCCTGTGGGAATGTAACAGTGCAGAAGCCTAAGTAAATAAATATATAAGAGGTGATCACATAGTCTTGAACATAAAAAGTCCCAACATCTTGCACATAAAAAGCCCATATGGAAATCATTTTCCCCTTGATACCTGTATTTCAGAAGTACAGAATTCTAAAATGTAAACCGTGCATTTTTTCCCTCTTGTGCCATCTTTATATTTGATTATAGGACACGTGCTGTGAGGCACCACTTAACATCTAATCAACCATGGGCTTCTATTAATATCCCTGCAGTGACAATAGAAAGCTTAAAGTGTTGAAAGTTCTTAGACTGATACCACGATCTTGGGTTTCTCTTGCTTCAAGTCAGTTTGTTATTCCCAGAAATGATAGTTCCGTGGCTTCAAGCAGCATCTTCTCAGCTGAATTTTGAACAGATGTTTCCTTGTTATGCCACTTAAAAGGTGAACTCTGAATATCTGAATTGATACAGCTGGGATACAGTTTTATTACCTTTGGTAAATTATGTTCTTGATGTAACTTTGCATCTACTATTTCAGTATGTTGTTTATTGTATCCTGCTGCTGTGTATTGCTTTATTCTTTACAAGCCCTTTAGAGTTTTGCCAAGCTGTTTTCAACAAGGGGACATGCAGGATTTATGACTAAAGCACACATTTCCAAGGCTTTTTGCGTGAAATGCAGAGTTTGATTTTTAACTCTTTTAAGTGTACTTATTTGGTGCATATGCAGTGCACCAGTCAAAACTTCAATAAAGGCATTTTATAAATTTTAACAGCAATCTTATCCCCAATTTTTTTTCCTTTTTCTTTCTGTGCCTTCAAATCAGTCTTTGACTCGTGGTGACTGCCTGGACTAGTCCCTGCAGTTTTCTTGGCAAGGTTTTTCAGAAGCGGTTGCCATTGCCTCCTTCCTAGGGCAGAGAGAGAGTGACTGGCCCAAGGTCACCCAGCAGACTTTGTGCCTCAGGCGAGACTAGAACTCACGTCTCCCAATTTCTAGCCCGGTGCCTTCCCCAACATACCAAATTGGCTCTCAGTTATTCAAACAGAGAAAGACTTGCTTTCAGTGGAAAAATCTGAGTAGACATACGCTTTAACCTTTTTTGAACTCTACCACCAATTAAATTGCAAGCCTCTGTAGTCGTTCACTGGGTAGAAAACAAGCATGGCAAGATTTAGATGTTAGAAGTATTTAGTTGACTATTGCTATTGCTATCGTGAAGCCTGGGGATGACATTAGCAGTTGGAAGAAACATAAGCTTTCTATACATTTTCCTGGGTCACAGTTTAACTGTACA